ATAGCACAGAAAACTTACTGGAATATTTGCTTTAAATTTCATTTGGGCAGTGTTATTGGCTGAATTATGTCCCCCACCCCCCTTTCATATATGGAAGTCTTAACCCAGTACTTTAGAATATAACTACATTTAGATATAGGCCTTTAAACAGGTGGCTAAGTTAAAATGAGAGATTTAGGGTGGGCCCTAATCCAGTCTGATTGGTGTCCTTTTGAGATGAAATTTGACTTATAACAAGGTACAAGGGGGGTGTGTGTATACAGAGGGATGACCAAGTGAGGACACAGCCAAGAGGGCGGCCATCTGTTAGTTAAAGAGAGGCCTCAGAGCAAACCAATTTTGCTAGCACTTCATTCTTGAACTTTTAGACTTCCAGAACTGTGAGAAAGTTAATTTCTTTTGTGCAAGCTGACCAGTCTGTGGCAGTTTGTTTTGGCAGTCCTAGACAACTATAATAAGGCTGTTAAAAGAATCCTTGAAATATTAGAAATGTCTTTTCCAATTATAGTAATATGGAGAAAATTTCAATGTGTATGTGAAGAAGACACCTTAGAGGATCAGGAAGATGGACTAGGGGATGATGGTACTTAGGTAGATGCAGGATTTTGGTCAAGTTCTAGCTACCAAATCCTGTGGTCCATTTTGTGTGTTCCATTGTGTTATTATGCTTTATAACTTACATCTGTGTATCATTATGTGATTCCCCTCTTCATGGATTAAATATAATAAAGATAAAAGAAAAAAGTTAAATATAAAACAAGGCAAAATACTTGTTTACATGGATTATACTTAGTGAAATAAAATATGACATGGTCAAAATTCTTATTACTATTCATTTTCATCATTTTTCTTTTCAATAGTTAAGTCTATTTTGTGAAGTGATTGTAATTGTGTTCATTAGTTATTTCTTTATGGGAAATAGGTTAATTATTTTTTTTCATTTAAGAGGAAAATTAATATCAGAAGTGAACCATTCAGCCTTGTCAATGAGATACGAAAATGCAGAGCTTAAGCCATTGAAGCATAATTCTAAAATATCTGTGCTTTGAAGGAGGGTCAGAACTGTCTGTGAAAGCTTTTTTAACATTTAGACTAGAATATATTTACCAGGCTTTTGAAAGTAAGCTGTGGGTGTTTAGTGAAAGTGGTTCTGAACCATGTTCATGTTAGTTTAGGTTTTTTTTTTTTTTTGTTACTATGACTAGAAGTTTTTCATGTTGCTAAATCACATTTTAAATGAATAGAAGCGGTTATAAGGTAAAATATCTGACTGGATTACTGTGGTAGAAAGGCTTTTTTTTTTTTCTTTAAAGCACATATGGTACTAGTTCTGAGTATGCTGTGGCCCTGGGTGACAGTATTTTGTGTATCTTGATAATTATTTATGGAGAGACATTTTACTTCAAGATTTCTTGGATTACTTGAGCATATCATCAGGTTTTCTGGAAACTGAAAGTCTTCTTTTAATACCCTAATTAATTTTTTACTTAAGAACATTTTTGTAAAAGATGTTTAATATCCTTCCCTCTTGGATTATTGTGAATGTAGCTTAATCTTTTATGTAGTTAAGCAAGGCCATCATTATGAAGACAATGCTTGTTCTGCAATATGGTGTGGCTCTGAAGCTACTGTGATAAGTACAAGCTTGCACCTATGGTAAATAATCCTAAATTTGTTTCCTTCTTTGTGTCTGTGCGTCTGTGCGTGCTTTTTAAATTTTTTTTTCCTTTTCTTCTCTCCTATTTGTTTTCAGACCATCACTTATAATTTTCTTGGCTATTTTTGCAGTTTCTTTCCTCCTCATAATTTTCTGCCTCTGCTTTGCTTATGGAAATGGAGATGGTAGCAAGTGAATTTATAGTGGTCATGTATAAATCAGAGGCCCAAGAAACTTGGTTTCAGGAAAAACTGCTCATGGAATTTATGGTATCATAGCTGAGTTACTCAACTGTTCAAACTAATAGCTTCTATTGCATGCTTGTTGTAGGTGAGCCCCACCCAGTGCTGGTCCATCTCTCTGATTTAGGCTGGTGAATGAGCCTGTAGGTGATTTGTCTCCTCTCTTATCAGTTATGATAATTAGTTTTTGCATTTGAAAAATTCAAGTTCTTGTTTCTTTCAGACCTGATTCGACTTTGGAATAGAGGCTAAAAGTCTCATCAAAGGCTACAGGAGAATAGGGATTGACACCAAAGTTCTGGAATAGTCCATAAATGCATAATTGATGTTCATTTCCTACTTCTGCCTCCCTTAGCTATTGGCATGCTATTTTTCAGATATTTTGCAAGTCAACCACAGAAAAATTTTTATAATACCTTGTCCCATACTAAATTCTTTCTTTAAAAAAATCAAATATTTGTAAAATTCTTGTAATTCTTAATTGAATATTCCAGAGATTTAAATTATCTTGTTCTAAATGACACTTTAAATTTTGTGCTTAAAATTTCATCCATCAAGCTGTGTTGGTACCAGTTAGAAAACTAACTTTGGAGTAAAAATGAGAATACAAGTGTATGTGTACTTTCTTACAAAAGACCACACAGGGTGCTGATGTTTTCTGTTTGAGGTCTGCCATGCTTGAATTGCAATTTTTCATGGATTTCTGACCCAAACTGGGACAACAGATGTACCTGATTTTCCCCTTCAGTGATTTACAAATATAGTTATAAATAGAATTAAAAAGTGATCTTCAGCCATGGTCAGGGTTTACCTTATCTCCCTGTACTGTTTAACCATGTTTTTAAAGGAGCTTTTTGCAAGTGTGATAGCAGGTCACCTGGGGTGAGTGACTTTGAGACTTGAACTTTGAGATCTAGATGAACATGCATGGGAGTGAAGGACATAAGGTAGAAAATATCTAGTTCTCCTTCTATGTAGTCCAAATGGAAGGCACTTTGAATTATTGAATACCTTAACGAGTTTTCAAAACTCACTTCTAGATCATTTTACAACAAAGTTTAAAGGCAGTTTAAAAGTTGATCAAGGGGTTGGGGATGTGGCTCAGTGCTACAGCAACTTTCCTGGCATGTGTGAGGCCCTGGGTTTGAACCCTAGTACAGCAAAAACCAAAACAAAACAAAAACAAAAATAAAACAAACAAACTAAAAAACCAAAAAGAACCTTGACTGATAACTTTATATACATATATATTTTTATATGTATATATGTGTGTGTATATATGTGTATATACATATTTTATATATATATACACACACACACACACACACATATATATATATATATATATATATATATATATATATATATATTTTACTAGTTAGTTCAGTACCTGATAAATTTTAGTTCAAACTGAGAAAATATTTTAAATACTCATGGGAAATAGTATTTTTATACTGGAAAATGTGATATGTGGTGGATTCAATGATCCTAAAAAGTAATATGGTTTTCAAATTTTGATTTAGATGTAATTGTGATCATTACTGCGTTTTTACACAGTAAATGTATTTTTGCACAGATAAATATACATTTATCTAAGGTAATAGATAGGATAATTGTTATTTAGAGATGGAGAGTGAGAAAGAGCTGGTGGGTTTTCTGCTGGCATAGGAGAAAGTCAAGGAGTCTTAATTTTATAAAACTCGTTAAGGTATTCAATAATTCAAAGTTTTAAATTAAAAGACTAAATAAGATCTTAAGAGAACATTTTTTCTTTTATCTGAGGCAATAGTAGGCACAGTATGCCTACTACCTAATATGTATGTGTGTGTGTATACACACATATATACACAGTAAGTAATTCAGTTGAATTACTTAAATTTTACTCAGGTTAGACTTGAACCAGTGCTTAAAGAAACGGTACAAAGACTCACAGGCATTGAAAAGAAAGTAGAAAAGATGGCTATTCACATAAGAATGTGAGATTGCAGTTTTTGTTATTAATAGCTTAAAATAAATTCCTTGAGTATATGTGACCCCCTCCTGCCAAATGTCTTTCTTGCTTCTCCTTTTGCTGAAAACATTTTAAGTTAATGAGCTAATTTCCTAATGTCTGTTATGGAATTTGTGGATTCTATAATAAAGTGAGTGTTCTCATGCCTTGTCTTTCACAAACATTTCTTGTCAAGGTAGGACTGGCTTCCATACAGCTGTGCACTGGAGAGTCATGAGTGACTGCAGCCAAGTCTGAATCCAGGCCGTCCGGCCTCTGGCCAGAAGCTTTGCCAGCTTAGCTGCTTGACCACCTGCTTCTGTTTTTCTGTTCCACTTGCAGATGGAGGATGTTTGCTCTTCTTCTGGCATCAACACCAATTTTTTAAAATTCCTTGGAAGAACTTGGAAAAGGGAGACAAGAGGTTGATCCATGTGCTGTAGTTTTGTTTCCTGAAAAATAACATCTCTTAATTGAGATCCTGGGACTTTGGTCCAGCCCTATAGGCCATTGATCCAATGGAATTCTGTCTACTAATGATGAAAGCTTTGTAGTTGAGAATTATTGGAGATATGTCCAAAGGGAACTTTGGAAATTATAAACCATGCCATGGCTTTTCCTCTGTCCTTCCCTATCAAATATACATTGGATTTCAATAAAGTAATGAGAATTTAAAACAGATGCAGTTGTCAGAATTTCTTCTTCCAAGCAATTACTTTTACCTAAAAGAAGTTACTTTAAACATTTAACGTATGTTTCTATGAAACTGACATTCTTGAAAACAAAGGAAATTCTTATAGCCCTACAAGGTCAAATTTTTCTTTTCTTTCTTTTTTTTTTTTTTTAAACTTTAAGGAGTTTAGCTGGATTGCTACATCTTATTCTCTTGAGGGAACTGAACTTTAAATTTAAAGTCAAGTCCACTCTTAAAGGATTTGATTTGAAGTACACTGTAGGATCTGAAGACACCTCCAGTAACAAGATATGACCCAAGTAAATGTATAAGTTTTCCGGAGAGACTCGTTAAATAAACACACACACACACACACACACATATACACACACACACATTCATACACACACAAAAATAGTAACATGGAAAGAGGAAGAGATCCTTTTGGCTCATAAGCCTGATGATTGGGTGTTTATGCTATTGTGTGTGATATGCCTTCCAGTAAACCTTGTTACAACATTGGCACATTACCCATCTAATGTGGAAAAAAAGAAAGAAAGAATCAAGAAGAAAATTTTGGATAGTCAATATTTTACTAAACTCATCGAATTGTATATATTAAATATATCTAGCTTTTTAATGTCAACCGTGCCTTTAAAAAGTGATTTATGAAAAGAACAACAAAATACTTGTTCCTGGCACTGTTTTGTTTTCTGCTTTTTTTTTTTTTCATGGCATAGTTCCATTAACTCATTTATCTTACCCCCAAAACATGCCTTTTAATTTCCCAAGATATGTGGTTTAGATTGTGTAGTGGAAAATATTGTTTTAGAGCTCTTGACTTGAATGGGAGACAGTAGAATGAATAGTACATAACTTTCCTGTGTTCATATGTGAATACACGCCCAGTGTAACTCCACATTATGTTCGCCTACAAGAATAGGCAGTTAGACTCCATGTATGGATGACAAGTCAAGATATATTCTGTCGTGTATAACTAAAAAACAACTACCCAAAACAAACAAACAAAGAGCTCTTGACTCTCTTTGCCTCTTATAGATATGGTGTTTAGAAGTAGAAGGAAAAGAAGGCAGCATGTGATTTTCCTCTTGACAAAGCCAAAGAGATATGACAAAATGGCAAGGAAGATTGGCACTACTTACTTCTCAGTGGCAGCAGTGGTGCTCCTAGGATTGTGACAGTGCAGCAGATAGCAGAGGGAGGTGGTTCCTGAAGGAGGACAGGGGGTGTCGAAGATATTCCAAGCCTAGGCACCAGGTGAGAAGTGTGAAAAGCATGTTTAAGCACCAGCTTTCTTTGATCAACTTGTGTCATTAAGTGATTCCTGGATGTTCTCATTTACCTTGATCTGCTTCTAACAGAATGTACCCTTTCTCAGAGAAAGATACGTACTTGGTTTTCCTGTTTTAGATCACTTTAAGAAATTGATATGACTTGATATTTGCATGTCAAGGGAACAGAATGGAATAATAGTTCTTATCTTGGATTTTATAACCCACCATATATGCCCTTTGTAGACATGCAGTGGACATTTTTGTTTGTTTGTTTCTAGGCACAGACTGAAGCCCATGTTGATATTCTGCTTAATATTAACAGTTTCAGCTGATGTTAGTATTTAGAAAGATACAGAATTTTTATTTCTTAATGGATAGTTCTGTATCCCATGTGGTTGTAATAATATGTTTATCACCATTAAGTGAAAGTTTCTGAATAGTGTGTAGTGGAACTCAGACCAGGGTTAATATTTTGTCACTTGCTAAATGTTTGGATCTTAGCTTCCTCATCTGTAAAAAGAGACAGTTCTACCTCAGGATGGCTCATGGACATTAAATGAAGCAAAGCACAATGGCCAGGATATTTAATGCTCCAAAAAGAGTTTTAAAACTACGTGTAAGCACTGAGCACGAGACAGGCTCTCTGGTGACTCCTCAGATTGTTGAGAGAAAGGATATCAATCTATTGAATGTCATGTAGATTCTGTGCATGTGTGCATGTATAAATGAAGTAGTGCACACTTAGTATACTAATTTCTGGCACAGAGTGAGTAAATAATTCAGGCAAGATAGGAAAATAACAAGAAAGATTAGTTTTATTTATTCAGTTTTTCAAAGCTTTATTATGCATGTATTTCATTAATATGGCTCTATGTAGATTTTTAAAACAGTAACAAAAGTATATATTTAAAGAGCATTGCATATGCTGTATAACCACTAAAGATGTGCAGGAAAATCCTAATATGATGAGAGTGGGATAATAAGTATACCTACTTCTTTGGTTCATCATGTTTATTGAACTATATAATGAATATTTGTAAAGTACTTAGAAAGTATCTGCCTTGCCTGTACTAAGCTCTGTGCAAATGTTTGCTGAAAGTAAGATAAATAAATAATGAATAAGTAAATCAATGGGTCCTCTCTTTGGCTGTCACTAATTGTGCCAGGAGTGGGCACACAACCCAGAGACAGCCATCCATCAGCTGATACTGGCACGATTTTGGTCTAGCTCAAAAAGAAGCCCTGGGCCAGATTCTCTTCCAGGAAGTTATATTTGGGAAGTGAGAAATTAAGTCAATTAGCTGTGAGAAAGTGGATTCACAGCCCAGTGAAGAGGGTGGCCGTTAATGGATGCGCGCAACAAGGGACTCCATTGCCAGGGCAGGGATAAGAGTGGAGCATGTTGGGAGAAGAATGAGGAGGGTGGGAGAAGAGCAGAATGCCTGGGGGGTTAAACCACACTGGAGTGGCAACCCCCACCCCATTCTTTTTGTTTATTTGTCTTATAACTTGAGTGAAGCTCTCTTCTTTGTGTGACAAGAACATGATGTGATTAGTCATTTACAATAACTAGCTTGGGATTTCTTAACTTACTTCTTTTTGGCGAATGATTATTTTCATTTAGAAAACAGCTACTTGTTGTTATAGGATGTGGCAGTAGGTACAACAGCAGCTACAAGGGAGGAGAAATTGCCATCTGACCCTCCTACTCAGGGAGTGTTATGTTGCTGACAACATAATAAACAAAGAAATGTTACAAAGCAGTGTTTATCTCTTTAATGGAGTCAGGCATCCTTGGATAATTTAATAATGCTTGAGAACATCATATGTTTTGGTATAGGTGACTAGATCAGTAAGAAAAGGTTAAATTGTGTTTACAATAGCTGTGTTTTTCTTTCTTTCTTTTTTTTTTTTTCTTTTTAAACTATGGTAGAGATGCATGCAATTATTTTGGGAAGGTTTCCCTGAACACCAGGTCGATTACTTAGTTGAACTTTGGACATTTTTATGAACCAGTATTCTTTTAGTTGCTAGTGATGAAAACCCACCTTGAAAATGTTGGCTCATATAACCAGTGGTGCAGGGGCAGAGCTGATTTTTGGGCAAAGCAGAAACCAAGAGGTTAAATGGGCTCTCTAATAACTCTTGCTTTTGCTTCATCTCACATGATTGAGGCTTTTAGGTAGGAAAAAGTAGAGAGACCATCTTCATTTCAATATCCACACACAAAATTCTAAGTCCTGCTTGGTCATGTGCCTACTTCTAGGTGTACCACTGTATCCAAGGGGAATGATGACCAAGATTGGTCCAGTCTGGGTCCATATTTCTTGAGGCAAGGTGGGATACCACAGTGACAGCCCTGTCCCAGCTCTGCAGAGTGGAGGAGGGGCAGCCCCTGGGGGAGGAGTGCTGGCAGGCAGAGACAACATTTCCACTCCAGGCAAATGAATGGCAGAGTGTTTGTTATTCAGGAAACCACTCCTCCAGAGCTCTGCTCTCTTGATGCCAGATAAATGAGGTTTCACACCCTTTGGAATTACTTACTTGTTGGGAACATACAAAATAAAAATTGTGATGTTTAAAAAAATGACCTAACTACACATTTTTAAAAATAATGTGTATATGTGTGTAAGCTATAATAAGGACTGATCCCTTTTTTCACTAGCCATTTTAACAACCTTAATACTAATAACATACCCTCATTTCTGTCCTCTGGATCCTAAAATCTTGGAAAGTTGAAGCCAGTCTGGATGGGCTTTAGCAGCTGTTGAGTTTAGAATATTCTTTAGTTAGAATGCTTAGGATGCTGGATTTTTGTCATCCTTTTCTTAGAGTCACTGTGGGAGAAAGAAAAAAAAAGAAACAAAATCTTTAGAGGACCTTTATGACAAAGTAATTGTTATGCCAAGTTGGGTAAATGTCATAAGTGAACTCTTGATATTACTTAAGTGGTCTAGAGAGACTGTTCCAGAGCTCAGGTTTTCCCCGGGAGAGTGTAATCTACCCCTACCTTCCTTTCATAAATAAAGCATCCCTTACATCACGTAAATTAGCCCAACCACTCTAGACAGTAGCAGAGGATTTCACTTATTTATTTATTTATTACCCCTAAAAGATTCTCTGTTTGAAATTGGGGTGCCGAACTAGTAAGCTGCTTTTGTGTTTCACAAGTTGATAGTACAATAAAGATAGATCACAGGATCAAAGAAAATCTTCTGATTATCCTTTCTAGTCTAATTAGAATTTATAAGAAATATAGCCTTCTATTGGGTTTTCCATGACAGACATGAAAGATGTATTTATCTTTTTATCTTTCCTTTCTGTTACTGTGGGCCTTGTTTGGTGCGGTTAACAACTGGGTTATACGATAGAGTGTGAAATTTTCCTACTTGGATTCTGCAGTAGAAATGTCTTACTCAGTTTTTAAGACCAGCACAACAAGTTTACCAGTTCATATTTTTTTTCTTGTTCATTTATACTGAACTTCTGTAGTTAATAGGAAATATGTTCTTCAACGAGTAGTTGAAGACTACTTGTCACCAGTTAGATCTCCTAATAGAAAAGGAAGTAGTAGGAGATTTGTTGTTTTTAAAATGTTTCTGCACAGGTCTACTTTCAGGTTAGCTTAATTATTAAAATATGAAGACTCACTGGAGTTTATAATTCTTTCTGCTCCCCCCCCTTGCAAATATTAGTTAAATGTCTACATTTACCTGAGTAAAAAAGGTAAAGGAGCACAGGGTGATCCTGATGGTAGCCCCAAGTCCTGCCTCACAGAGCCCAGAGTCCTTGTTAGCTTGTGAAAATATTTGCTAAGCCTGCAGTCTCAGGAAAAAGTGGTGAGATACAAACTGATGAATGCAGTGATAGGATCTTTAATAGAGGTTATAGCCAAGCACAAGTAAAGTCCTTTAGAAAGATGAGTGTATAGAAGGTTAAAGTTTAGTAAATTAATTGTTGTTCCCTGCTGGAGGAACATTCTGTTTTCTTTCCTGCAGTGGCCACTGACCTCTGGCTGGGGAAATAGTGATGCCTGTTTAAGAAGACCACCCAGTGCTGTTCAGAGATTTCTGTGTAACCTCTGATTGCCACGTGCACATCCCTGATGATTTATTATAGATAATAAGATACTTTTCAGAGCAGGCTCCGTAGACTTGTAGACTTTCTTTGTCACTACTGCTCCTCTGGCTCATCCCTTGGGGCTCTTCTCAAGCCCCACTTTCCTGGGAAAACTTCACCTCTAATC